GGGGGAGAGAAGGAGAGAGAGAGAGAGAGAGAGAGAGAGAGAGAGAATCTTAAAATCTACCATTATAAAACCAGGCAGTAGTGGTGCATGCCATTAATCCCAGCACTCAGGAGACAGAGGCAGGTGGATCTCTGTGAGTTTTAGAAGAGCCTGGTCTACAGAGTGAGTTCCAGGAGAGGCACCAAAGCTACACAGAGAAAGAAACTCTGTCTCAAAAAACAAACAAACAAAAAACCACCATTATAATCCTTATTGTATGGTCACTATTGGATTGATCAAATGGGAAAAGTGAACCAGTGAATTTTTATTTTTATTTATTTATTTTTGACACAGGGTCTCACTTTATAGCCTCAGCTGGCCTAGAACTCTATGCAAACCAGGCTCACAGAGATCCGCCTGCTTTGCCTCTCTGTGCCAGGATTAAAGGTGTGTGCAATCATAGATAATGAAATTTAGAAGTTGATACACTGAGTAGTGATAGCTGAAAGCCCCTGAGGAACTGGAAGAAAAAAGATGGCAGCAATGGCACCTGTGCCACTCGAAGCACCGTTCCTGTCTGAAGGAATGACTTCACTTGCTCTGGTTGACCCTAGAGGTAGTGCTCACTATGGAACATTCACACTGCTCTGTGAGTTGTGAGGACACTGGGTAATGGTGAAAAGCTGATGTTTGGGTCATATGCTCTATTGAAAAGATTTTCTTCTAAGTTAGTTAAAATGTTTAAAAAGGATTCCTTACTTTAGTGACCTAAGTTAAGTTCCATTATCTGAAAAGATCATTCGTGATAATGACGTAGTATACATAGTTAATGTAAATGCCAGGTGTTGGCATGCATTTTCTTTATACAAATCAAACCATGACTACTAGTCTGTGATGTTCAAGATCTATAAATAGAATCTCTGTAGTTATCGACATGTTGCATGGACATTACCATTTACATGGTAGTTTTGAAGAGTCTAGAGAATCAGACAGTATTATACCCAACCTATATTATAAACTATTTTGTAAAACACTTACATTCAATTCTTATTTTTGTTTTGTTTGGTTTTTCAAGACACGATTTCTCTGTGTATCCCTGGCTGTCCTGGAACTCAACTCTGTAGATAAGCCAAGCCTAAGATCCACCTGCCTCTGTTGCCCCAAATGCTGGGATTAAAGGCGTGCACCACCGCCCAGATGTATTCAATTCTTAAACTAACTTTATGGGTTTACTTATCAATCAGGTGACCCTTTATATTAGTCTGCCAGCTTTTTTCCCCATATAACCAGTGTGTTTGCTCCATCACTTAAATTCTCTAGGACCACACCAGCATCATCGTCATTTGAGTGTATATTAGAGATACAGGTACTTGAGCCTCCCATGCTTCCTTTGTGAAACCCAAGCCTGGAGCCCAGTCAGCCTGATGAGAAAGGGTGATTATCATGCACACTGGGCTTTGAGAAGCTGCTATAGTTTTCTATCTGTGCTCCCAACATGTGCCATGAGTACCTTTCCCAGGATGGCCTGAGACTCACTATATAAACTGGGCTGGCTTCAAACTCAGAGATGCATCTGCCTCTCCCTTCTGAGTACTAGGATTAAAGATGTTGAAATCTTTGTAATAATTTTATTCCAGGTCCTCTGCCTACATCCTCTTTAGATATCAGAGAGTAGGAATATTACAAAGGCCCAGATAAAGGTTGGGAGTAGAGCTCAGTGGTACAAGGTCCTAAGTTTAATCCTCATGGTAAAAAGAAAGGTATGGAATCCCAGGCAGGATTTGAATTTGAGTCCAACATGAACTACAAGAGTGAGACCCTATCTTTAAAATAAAAAAAAAAAAAAAAAAAAAAAAAAAAATAAAAAAAAAAAAAAAAAAAAAAAAAAAACTAGATTCTGCCAGCCCAGGACCTATCATTAAATATTTAAAATACAAAAAATAAAAAATAAAAATAAATTAAAAAATAAATAGACTATATGTACTTAATACTTCCTGAGAAGTAGTTGAATATACTCTATTACAGTGTCATCAATTTTTACATCATTCAGAAAACATTTGAATGCCCCCTTTCACCCTGGCATCTTGTGCAGCTCGCTAGCTGGCCTTAATCTAATGGCAGTCCTCTTGCTTCAGCCTCTGAAGTGCCACCACACCTAGCTGTGAACATTTATTTTTTTTTAAGTGTGTGTTAGGCAGTCTCTCTCATTTGGAGTTTTCTTTTACAATTTTTAAAAATATACATGAATATTATACGTTATGTATGTATATGTATCATGTGTATGCATTTCCTGAGGAGACCAAAAGAGGGCATGGGAGCCTCTGGAACTGAGGTTACAGAGGGTTGAGAGCTGCCATGTGGGTCCTGGGAATTGAACCCAGGTCATCTGAAAGAGCAGCCAGTGCTCTTAACCTCTGAGCCATGTCTACAGGCCCTGCTTCCACACATTTAAAGATGAGAGATGCTCTGATTACAAGGACTTGAGAGTTTTTGCTTGTGGGTGTCAGTATTGAGGGTTGTTTTTTTATACTTTATTTATTTATTTATTTATTTATTTATTATGTGTGCAACATTCTGCTTCCATGTATATCTGCACACCAGAGATCTCATAACAGATGGTTGTGAGCCACCATGTGGTTGCTGGGAATTGAACTCAGGACCTCTGGAAGGGCAGCCAATGTTTTTAACCTCTGAGCCATCTCTCCAGCCCCCAGTATTGAGTTTTAAGTGAAAGTTATTTCTTTCCAATTTTATGGTGTTTAACAGATTTAAGGACACAGTTGTTTGTTTTGTTTTGTTTTCTTAAACACAAGATTAATACTGTACTGCTTTGTAGAAAATATCCAAAATTAGAGCCAGTAAAAAGGCTCAATGGAAGCCAGATGGCAGTGGTGGTACATGCCTTTAATCATAGCACTCAGGAGGCAGAGGCAGGAGGATCTCTGTGAGTTCAAGGCCAGTCTGGTATACAGTTCCAGGATTGCCAGAGCTACACAGAGAAACTCTGTCTCGAATAACAAACTAAAGAGGCTCAGTGGATAAAGGTGCTTGTGTGCAGTTCAGTTTCTATAATGTGAACCAACCCCAAGAGTTGTCTTCTGACAGCCACACTTAAACTGTGGGGCATGCAAGTCAACTCACACACGAACATCCTCAGTTACATAGTAAATTCCAGGCCAGTCTGGGCTAAATTATGAGACTGTGTCCAAAGAAAAAAAAGCTCCATGTGTTTGTCCTCCATATGATCACAGCAACAGAGTGTAACGGGATGGCACAGTATGTCGATGTGACTATTTTGATGCTTTATGATACTTCTCATGCTGTGCTAGGAACTTGTGCTTGAGAGATCAGTAACTTCCGCTTACTAACATTTTGTTCTTAGGAAATTCATGGTTAGCGTTCCATAAATAAAGCCAGCTCCTTGTGAACACTGGGATAGTAGTAAGTGTCCAGTGTTAAATGGCTTCTTCCTGCTTCTGACTCTCTGGACATCATTTCCTTCACCCTTCCCTCATCCCTTGCAGCTTCACTGTGTGTTCTAAACCAGCAGTTTGCAAGCAGCCAGTCCTCATCAAGGCCCTTGCTTCCCCATCTTTGTACAAAACATTGCTTCCTCTACACTCAAGTGGGGCCCTCGGCATGAGACTCCCCAGCCCCAGTCCTGGAAGCTCAGTGTGACTTAGGCACTGCAGGAACTTGGAAAGCTGTTACTTGATCAGGTCTCAGGGCTTACTGAACTATATGGCCACTGTGGCCTGTTTTAATTAAATTGCCACTTGGACCTGCTCCGGGATGCTGTCCTGCCCTTGGATTAACACAGTGGGTTCACAGAAACTCAAGAGATATCAACAGATATGCAGCCTGTGGACTTTGAGAGTTTGTTAGCTTAGAAAATAATCGTTTCTCCCCACAGCTACCCCCCAAATAATGCCAACCCCATCATAAGACTGAGTATACATTCTGTCACTCATGTTTTAAAGATGAATATCATTAAATAACTGGAAGGACTAGGGAAGAAATGTGGCACATTGTGACCTGATCTTAAAATGGCCTCCTCCTCCCATTGTAGTCTTTGTATTGCTATACAGACAGATGCTCAAATGAAAAAGAAATACCGGCATTAGGGAAAGCATTCTGAAAATTCCTGCAGTTCTGAGTTTATATATCCAGCTCAAAATACAAATATTTCTAAGTGTATACTTAGCATATCTCCATAAATATATTCACTGTAGCATAAGCATCAACCATAACTATCATACTTAGCTTTTCTTTAAGATGTTTCATGTTTCCTTACATTAGCTTTAGTAACTTTACAAATTCCAGCATTAAATTTGAGTCCTGTACATTTGTCCGAAAACTTTGTTTGCTAGTTACTTATCTCCTTCATTCCAGGTATTAGAAACACCTTTATTTTTTAAGCAACAGTAATGATTTTATCTGTGTAATTTGGAAAAATCCTTCACATGGATTTTCCCCAACTTTCCTCACAGTCCTATAAAATAAGCAATGTTGCCCTTAACCCTCAGAATGAGAGCAGAAGCCAAAGGGACAGCAGGTAGGTTAGAGTAAAGTACAAGCAGCCTCTTTTGGTTCCATTTTTGGCATCCAAAAAGTTCATTCGAATAGTTCATTCTTACTATAGAGCCATCGAGAGTTCTGATCTAATTAAGACTGGAGCTTTAGGGCTGAGACCGTAGCTTGGTGTGGAACACTGTGCAGCATATAGGAGGACCTAAGTTCGTTTTCAGTACAAGGAGAAAGACTTAAGACTTCTTTGGTGTGATTACCTGCTCATATAGAGAAAAGAGTTTTCTGGAAGTTTTTCTCTATTGTATTGTAGGAAACAGGGAGGCAGGCAGAAACTCAAGCAGGCCCTTGTGTAAGTGATAACATTTGGGTTGTCAATCGTCTCACCCTAGTGTAACTTTGGACAGATTGCTCAGTATATTATTTCCTTTAAGTGTTTTAGTATTTATTTGCTATGTGCCATGCAGGAGCTATAGATCAGTAGTGTCAAAATCAGTAAGCTCTAATATCTGCCTTCAAGGAACTCAGGCTATAGTAGGAAGGCAGGCAAGCATCCAGAGTATAATCTGGCAGTTCTTCTCCCGACTCCTTCATCCCAAATGCCTGTTAGTGTCCATCTTCATCTGGAGCTGGCCCAGCACAGTGCTGTTAACACTGAGCGACAGTGTCCTCTGCTCTGCACGCTGGTAACTGGCTGCCTGTTAAGTACAGCCTGCTGGTGTGCATTTAAACTGCAGATCCTGACAAAGAAGCTTAAGCTTTGTTTCTTTTGGGTGGTGACTTGTGGTTTCTTCCTCATGGAGTTTTGCTTTTCAACCCAAGGAGGGAAGGAGGAAGAGGAGCTGCTGCCTTGGGGATAGGAGAGCGCAGATAGAGAGCTTCAGAGAGGCCAGTGGAGAAGCCTTTCTCTCTGGTCTGAATTAAGGCCTGTGCCAACACAGAGATCTGTCTTGTGTGAGCAGTCTGCAGCCCTCCAGCTGCACAATATAAAAGGATGCTGCCAAAATTTCAGAAGAAAAGTGATGTGAGCATCATTCTGTCACCCCAGCTCTGATTTCCTAGTATTCTGTATGTTGCTGTAAATATAATTCATTTTATTGCTTTTTAAAAAATAACTCTCCCAGGGCTGGAGAGATGGCTCAGAGGTTAAGAGCACCAGCTGCTCTTCCAGAGGTCCTGAGTTCAATTCCCAGCAACCACATGGTGGCTCACAACCATCCGTTAATGAGATCTGGTGCCCTCTTCTGGTGTGTAGATATACATGGAAGCAGAATGTTGTATACATAATAAATAAAATATTAAAAAAATAAGTCTCCCAAAACCTATTTGGAATATATACCTTTATTTATTCTTTGACAGTTTTATACACATATACAATGTTCTCCTAAATGTTTATGCAACTTTCTCCTTGATCTTTATGGTAAAACATGTTTGTTTGGTTAGACTCAGGAAGCCCATCACAGTGTTTTGCCTTCCAGCTTCCTCGTTAGGAAATAAGATGTAGCAGGTTCCTATTAAGGAAATAACCTCCGTTGGAGAAATGCTGGACTTGAGCATCTGCTCACGTGCAGATATCAGGGAATGGATGCACTGACGTCAGGCACACTGACAGCCTGTGGTCATTTCACAGGGAAGAAGCTGGCTGGGGACATTTCTCTTCCTAAGGTGTATGGTGTCATCCATGTTGCCAGGCAAGGCAGCCTGCTTCAGGGCTGTGCACTAGAGGGCTCTAGCTATTAGTTTTGAAGTGGAAGGAAGCATTTAGCCAACAGTTACTGAAAGTGATTAGCTAGATTCTATAAGAAAGCAAAAATGAATGATAACTGGTCCCTTTCTGGTTCTTTTCGCTCTAGTGGAAGAGATAAGATGCTTATACAGGTGTGGGTATAGGTAAGAACTAGTGACTACATAGGAGATAGAGGAGGCTGCACCATGAAGGAGACAGGAGGAAAGACAGGAGCAGACTGTAATGAATGGAAGGTCAAATCTGAATGGAAGCTGTGGCTTCTAGAGAAGAGTCATCCCAGCGTCAGTTCCCTCCAGAAGCCTACAAATTGCTGCATGCATCTGTTCCATTTCCTGAAACATAGTAAATAACTCTGGTCTTGAAATAATACTTCTTGCCTCAAATGGAAATGTTTCCATTCCCAAATGTAATGGTTCTTTTTAAATTCAAACAATACATACAAAAAGAAAGTTAAAGTTATACCTGGAACAAGTATGCTGTCAGGGTATACGGTGTGAACAGAAGTTTCCCTGTCTGCCTACCCTCCTTTTTATACATGGATTGTCTTTCTCTTGCTTATCCCCCATAAGTGTCTGTGAGAATTTATACCAGCTACTAGAGTGCTTCCCATCAGTAGTTAGAAATTAGGGTAATGCCTATTTGGGAAGCAAATATTAATGAAGGGTAATGGGCAGGAAAGTACACAGATGGTAAGTTTACAGTGCAATAAACTTTTTAGAAGTAAACCCACTCAAAATCAAGATCCAGGGCCAGGCACAGTGGTGCACGCCTTTAACTCCAGTGCTCTGAAGGCAGAGGCAGGCAGATGTCTATGAGTTCCAGGACAGTCAGGACTACACAGAAACACCCTGTCACAGTCAATCAACAAATCAGTCAATAAATGATCAAGATCCATATCAAGGATCAAGAAGGATCCTGCTAACTGCCCACACCACTGCCCTCACCTCTTCAGGCATTACTTTCCTGTCCTCATAGTTAACCTTTACCAATATGATGAGATCTTTCTTTTAGTCTCTCCTTTTGTTCCTTTCTGAAAATACTACTTATATTATTTATAAAATTCACTATAGGACCTGAAAGAGAAACGTCACCTCTTGATTAAAGTTGAGAATGATATGGTGACTTGCCATGATTGAAAAAAGGTCCCAGAGCATAGCCCATGTGGTAGATCACTTTTTAGGAAATACTTTCATTCCTCCAGAACAGGCATTGAGGCCGATAAAGTGAAAAGCACCTGCCCTTTTCTGAAATGACAGATATGCAGAAAGCTGGAGGCTTCTTGTGAATTTTACAGGTGCTTGGCTAGAAACTGCCCCCTGCTGGACGCTTCTGGTATGACTGGGAATGAGTGCTCCGCTAGGGCTTCCTGGGTGGTCTCCCTTCATCTCTTCTTGCAACTTGTCTTTTTTCTTTTACGCTGTTTTACTGCAATGATAGCACAATCATCTTAACAAAGCGTGAGGTTCTGCACTGACGAGGCCCTTATAAACATTCTAGCAGTTCACCATTAAAATAGAATGTGCTGGAACCTTTCACCAGGTTGTGTCTCACACATAAGTAATGAGATTTGGTCCTAGAGCTGGCAGCAGGAGAGGAGTAACGTGTTGCTCTTTCTCTCCAGGAATCGACAAGGAGAACGTTGAACTCTCCCCCACCACTGGCCACTGTAACAGTGGACGAACTCGCCATGGATCCGCAAGCCAGGTGCAGAAGCAAAGAAGCGCTGGCAGTTTCAAACGTAATAGCATTAAGAAGATCGTGTGAAGCTTTCTTTCTTTCACTTTTCAAACCAACCTAACCTGGGCTTCTCACTAGTGACCCTTCCCTAACCTGGCCCCGTCCCACACTGCACTGCTGCACTTCGTGTCTTACGAACCCATCTGGTCTGCCATGTTGCCAGACGATCAACTTGGAAGCATTGCCTAAATTTAATGCTGCTTTTCTTTAATGTTTTTCCTTCTACTTTGGCATGTGTCTGGTGTGAGCACTTGTTCTGACACTTTCTGCACAAAAAGCAGGAGGTCAGGAAACCTGAACTGGGAGCGTGGATTGTGGGAGCTGATGAGTCCTCCAGTGCCCTTGCTGCTGCTGCTGCTGCCGCCAGCTGTGGGCTGTGCACGGAGGTTGGCCTTCTTTGTGCCCTTGTCTTACAGAGTGAAGTGGTTGTCTTATTTACACACTTTCCAAGTTTGGGGGAGAAATAATATTTTAACCCCAGTGTATTTAATCTTCTAGCTGTGGACTTTTTTTTACCTTATGAAGTTGAAGGAACCATAGAGGTCAAGCCTCAGTGAATTTACACCATACAGCCACAAGCCAGGTACTTGGGGGAGGGGGATAAATTAGTATTTTGTAATGGATTCTTAAGAAATCCTAACATTTGAGTATTAGCAATAATTACAGGAAATTAAGCATGACCACATACATCTTAACATTGCTGGATTAAAGCTATCGGTTCTGAGGCCTTATTCATACTTGGTCATCCAAACTAGGTAATTTTTTTTCCTGTTGATTATCTTTTAATCTTTACATATGAAGGTGTTCTGTTCCTTTTTTGTAAGCCAAGGCTATACTAAGTATAGTAACTACACTTGTTTTTGCACTTGCTTTTTCTTCCTCTTTCCTACATGATTCTGAGCAGGGTAATTAGCAGACAGAGTGTTGAAACTTGTTTCCAGAAGCTAATTTTCATAGCTGTTTCCATTAGCTCCAAAGCAAAATGGATTGCTAGGTGACTTAGGGTAGCTGATATTTTTATTTTGTTAAATAATTTTCCAAAAAACAGAATATGCTGTATATTATCGTAAATTTCTTTGATAAGATGTATTTTTTAAGTCCTTTAATCTTCCTCCTCTCCTCCAAATAAAATCAGGAATCTCTAGCAAAACATTTGGATTTTATCTGATAGGATTGCATTTTATCACTGTGAAGTATGGTCAGCCTGCGTGGTGTGCTGATACGGGACCTCTAGAATTGCTGCTGTGCAGACAGCATGGATCAGTGTGCCATAGGGCCTTCCAGGTGATGCACAGCCAGCTGCTTCATGGAACCTGCAGTATGCAAAACAATTGACTTGAGTGAGCGCAGTAGTATGTGGATGCTCTCATTTAGGATTGAACTATATTTATTTTTAAAAGGTATTATCCCTCTACTACATGTTCCCTTCATATATTAAGATACAATGGCTTTGGGAGGAACAAAAAGAAACCCGGGGTGGGGGGGAACCCTGTAGTGCTAGCTCACTAGTGGATTTCAGTAAACTAAACTCCACAGCTAAATCCATAAATAATGGTACATTTAAGTGTTCTGACTCTAATAATATAACACATTTCACACTTATCCATACAGTAACAATGTAATATGTAATTGTAAATAAAATTGCTTTTGATATTCAGAAATAACAAGAATTTAATTTTTTTAGTTTGTTTACAGTCCTGGGAAAAGTAAGAACCATTTGCCAAAATAAAAGGAAAAACCCTTAGTGTTAGTAGTGGTTTTAACAGACTCATTGGGAAACATGGGCGACACATGCAGCCAGCTGAGCTTTTGTTTTCAACGGTTGCAAAGGCCCCAGCAGAATAACTGTCCAAGCAGACAGGAAGGCTGTGAGGCTGAGTTGAGAAGCAGCAAGAGGCCCCAAGGCAAGGCTGCCAGGCGGGCACACCACCACAGCTCTGGTTCCTGCCACCAGCCAACCATAGGCAGGGGGAGGCTGTTTCCTGTGTTACTCTAGTTGCTCATTTTCCCTCTAAGAGACTGTTACTGCTCCTCTGCCTCTCCCATCAAACAGGAAAACTTGACAATGTAGCGCTCTTTCTGTAAGAGTTTCCCATAGTACCACGGTTCTTAAACGTCCCTCACTTGAGCTCCCCCTGGAAAGATCAAATGGAGCCACCTCCAGAGTCACAAACGCTTTTGACCAGTGCATCCAGGGTTCTTGAGTTTCAGCTTTATTTCATGTGCAAAACTTACAGAACTTCCAACTCTTTTTTTTTTTCTTTTTTGTATTTTTGAGACAGGGTTTCTCTGTGTAGCCCTGGCTGTCCCAGAACTCTGTAGACCAGGCTGGCCTTGAACTCACAGAGATCCGCCTGCCTCTGCCTCCCACGTGCTGGAATCAAAGATGTGCGCCACCATCACCTGCAGAACTTCCAACTTTTGAGGAAAGTCTAACTTTGTAAGCAGCTGCAGCTAAGGAGCTTAAGCATCACCAGCTGCCTCCAACCCGACTTCTTCCAGTTACAAGAGAGCAGCTGAAGTTCTGAGTAATGGCCCATGTTACATAATTTGGTGTGAGTTGGATGATTTGTTCCTGATTTGTGTTTCCCTGACGCAGAAGAAGAAAACAGTGGCTCTGCCAAATCTGTGTTGCGATAAGTCTGTTGGCCAGTGCTCCTGCCTTGGGCTTCCCTGCCCTCCACTGTGGGGACATAGCACTCTGCTGGCCAGTTACACTTGCCTGCGCACTGCTGAGCTGGGGAGCAAGGACACCACCCCCAGAAGGAACAGTCTAGCAGAGGATGGGAGCCAGCAACCCTATCCTCCGGTTTTAGGGTTGCAAGTTTCCTGTGGGAGATTGGAGTTTTTTGGGGGTTGGGAGATTTTTTTTTTTCTTCTTTCTTTTCCTACATTTACCCCCAAGCATACTGAGGCATGTCTTATTCAATATTATGCAATGGACTTATACAAAAATTCACTTAGTATCAGCCACACGATTTTTTTTAATGCAGTATATTCACCTGTAAATAATTTGTGTAAAATTTGACAGAAAAGTCTATTTACTACATTGTAAATACATGTGATGATATATTGTATTATTTTGCTTTTTTGTAAAGCGGTTAGTTGCTGTACATGGATAACAAACAAATATTTGATTATTTTCGTGTTCGTATTGCTAACTTCTTCCTGCGACTGCGTTACATCATTTAAAGAAAATGCTGTGTGTTGTGAACTGACCTTGTATATGGTGACTTCCCTTCCCATCGGGCAGTTCCCTGCCTCCAGCCTTGTTGATATTGTAACCAGCAGGAGAAATTCTGCCCGACACACAGACTCCATCACTGTGGGGAAACCCATAGAAATCTGTTCCAGATCATTGTCCTCACCTCCTCCCATCCTGTGTATGTCCTCCCACCCCCTCTCCCCTTTTTTAAGTAAAATGGTAAATTTAGTCTGCTCTAAACTGTGAGGAGTTTTTACTATCTCCACATGTTTTCTCATTTCTCCCTGTTCTTTTGAAACATGAAGCCATTTCCACCCTTTCAGGTATGTTGTAGATTGCTTCACCCCAAAGGAAAGATCTTTCTCTGAAAGTAAAATCACTCGGGTGGAACAAATGGGGGCCTGTCAGACACAGAGGGGACTGTCAATCTGGAATAGGAGTACTCTGTTTCGGATGCCAGGGTTCCCTGATGTCAGTTGGAGTCTTCGTGAGTGAGCAGCACAAACCACCTCCCATAAGTGGTCTGTGTCACTGACCCATCAGGGGCTACAGCCCTGCTCCTGAAGGAGAAAGGAGCCTCCTGGCCCTGAGAGAGACTGTCCTCAGGAGAGTACCTTGAACAAATGTTCCAAATGTGCTGTCTGCTTCTGGGGAGGTGACTTAGTGACTACAAAGCCAAAGTGAGGCCAGGCGTTGGTGATGCACGCCTTTAATCTCAGCACTTGGGAGGCAGAGGCTGGTGGATCTTTGTGAGTTCAAGACCAGCCTGGTCTACAAGAGCTAGTTCCAGGACAGCCTCCAAAGCCACAGAGAAACGCTGTCTCGAAAAACCAAAAAAAAAAAAAAAAAAAAAAAAAAAGCCAAAGTGAGCAGAACCAAGATAACAGAGCATAGACAGGGATTCCTTACCTACACAGGCAGGCATTTCCTAAGCAGGGAGCCTCTCTACCGTCATACAGTGCTTGGGCCATTTTTAAATCTGCTCAGTGATGAGTAGAATATGTGTGTACTTCTTTAGGAGTGCTTCAGTATATGGTCATTAGGCACATATTTAAAAGATTGAAAAAACAAACAACCCTGATGGAAGGCTTCTTCGAAAGGGCATTGATACCGGTGCCCCTGCAGGTGCCTAGCTCAGTGGCTGACACTAGCAGGGTGGAGAGTCAGCTCAGTGGTAGAGTACTTGCCTAGCTCAGAAGAGGTCCTGGGTTTATGCTCAATGCCACAAAAGAAACGGTTCCTTCTAGTCAGATGTGACAGCACATACCTGTAATGCAAGTCCTTGGTCACTGGTTCAAGTCAGCCAGCAAGACCTTGTCTCAAAACAAAACCAAAACACTAAATGTCCCCTTATTCTGAGGGTCTGTGTATATCTCATATACACATGTATCCATTTAAGCTCCAAAGAAGCATCATACATTTTACCTAAATAGGGGTAAAGTACCTTCTTGATCAGTTTGTATTATATCCAGAAGCATTCTGAAATTTTAGGTCCTTTACCACACACAGATGCTAGAAGCTGCCCAGGTGTAGTGAATTAGGCTCCAGGATTGTGGCCTTCAGAACCCCACCACCACCACCACTGGAGGGCCACTTCCTCCGGGCAAGATAAGGAAGTCACACTGTAGTCTTACCAAGGTCCCTTGCTGCTCAGAAGTTCAGAGTGTAGCTAAGTTTAAACCCTTTGGGGGGGGGGAGGGCATCAACATCTGTAATGTAATCTTTGATTTCCTTTGTTCAAAGAAACACTTCAGTAATTGGGCCCAATCCTGAACCAGGCATTGTAAGAAGTGTGGCCTCTTCCCCACTAGGAATTTGTGGTTTGGTGGGGAAAACAGCCACGTAACTGACGACGGTCATGTGCCCTGAAACGGATGGGGGGTTTTGAGTGGTGCAGTGGCAAACACGATTGATAACTGAGAATTTGGGGCTTGGAAATAATCAGGAAGTCTGTCCTGGTAGACGTGTTCAGGGATTAATGATGAGAAAGTTTTCAGTGTCTTTGGTGTCTGGGAGGAACCTAAGCTGTGAAGGAAATGATGCCATCAGAGTGCAGCCACAGGGTTGGCTCCCTGGGCTCCCACCCTCCTCCATTATCTCTGTTAAGAACAGAGCTCAGCACACTCCCCACAATAAAGGTACTTAAAGACACATTTTAGCACAAGG